AACCTCCCCTCAGGCTCAGCGCCAGGGAATAATTCATTTAACCTCGGACCCTAAGTGTCCGGCTCAGCAAAAATCTCGCCTCGGACCCTAAGTGTCCGGCTCGGCAAAACCTCCCCTCAGGCTCAACGTCGGGGAGTAGTTCATTCGCCTCGGACCCTAAGTGTCCGGCTCCGCAAAAATCTCACCTCGGACCCTAAGTGTTCGGCTCGAAAAAAATCTTGCCTCGGACCCTAAGTGTCCGGCTCGGCAAAACCTCCCCTCAGGCTCCGCGCCAGGGAGTATTTAATTCGCCATGGATCCTAAGTGTCCGAGACAGCTTCGGACCCTAAGTGTCCTATTTAGCACTATTCCTCCACGACTCAGTGCCGAGGAACAATTCGCCTCCACGACTCAGTGCAGAGGAACAATTCGCCTCAGATCCTAAGTGTCCGAGACAGCTTCAGACCCTAAGTGTCCTATTCAGCAATATTCCTCCACACTCAGTGCCGAGGAACAATTCGCTTCAGACCTCTGGTGGCCGGATCAGAACTTTTTTCCTCCGGACTCCAAGTGTTTAATACCCTGTGGATGTGGATATATCATAAGTTCATCATGATTCACCCCACATCAAGAACACACAAGAAAGAAAGAGTATGTATACGTCTACTGCAGGCAAGTCAAAGGCAAGAAGAGTTCACTTAACAGTTAGATCATTGTCCATATGAATCATCCTGAGATATCAATTAAGCTGTTAAAAGGATCTCCTTCTTCCCACCATCCTTGCTTTTTCTCGGATAGCATAAATCCGAAGCATAAAGACAATGTGTTTTGTTTGTCATAAAAACATTACCAGTCAGAAAAGTATGAACAATCTCAAAAGCATACAGCAAAAACAAATCAGGTATTGAAAGCCTAAAACAAAAATTATATTTATTATCTCAAACATACTGTCAATAAAAACGAAATACATGGTTCTACTTCCTCTTCGGATCGAAGGGAGTAGATTCAAAAGCATCCACTACAGTAGGACTTGGGGTAGGAGGAATTGAAGCCGCAGGGGAAGAAGAGCTAGGAGTACCCTTCAGGTGCGCCTTCACCATCTCGTCAAAGCGAATTTCAGCTTCCAAAGCCTGTAGCCCTTCATCATATGGGAAGTGCACCCACACCTGCTTGTCAAAAGCATCCGGATCCATCGTCCTGGGGCCTGAGCCCTGATTATAGCCAGACCGGAACGCTTTAGCACTAGCCAGGTGTGCCAGACAGGAGTAGCGCCCCTACATTTGCTTCCCCGCCTTGAAGCAAGTAGTAAGAGCTTCGGTCAGGCGTTGAATTTTGGCCTGAAGAGAATCCACCTTAGCCTCAGAGGCAGCCAACTGCCTCTTATACACATCCTTAGCTTCAGTAGCTATCTTCAGATTGGTAGAAGCAGTGGTGACTTTCTTCTCTGCATTGTCAAGATCCTTCTCCAGCTTCTTGATGGAGAGGGTTTGGGCTTCAGCAGTGGCACAGAGGGCCATGGTGTGGTATAGACTCTGTATAACAAAGGAACAAATATGAGCATAAATGGAAACATGAGTAAGCAAGAGTAACGTAATTCTGAAGGAGCAATACGAACCTCTATGGCCCGAACCGGGGCAAAGAGGAGTAGTTGTTCTAACCCCATTTGGCTGATGGCTTCCTCGTCCTTTGGGAGCCACATCCTTCGGGCCACAGCCAGTGCAGCTGAAGGGTCTGTGATAACAGAATCCCCTGAATGCAGGACTAACTTGTCAGCCCTGGTGAAGGAAGGAGTCCAAGGAGCCCCAGTTTCGGCCAGAACAAATACCCTGACTTCATCTTCAGGTTCAGCCTCTCCAGCCTTTTTCCCTCTGCTTTTAGAAGGGACCTTGCCCTTGCCAGAGGATGGGGGGTTGAGGCGAGATTTCTTCATTGGTGGTTCCTCAACCTTCACCTCACCCTCGGTAGACCTAATAACGACCAAAGGTTAGGCATCTTTGGCTTTCTTTTTTAAAGCCTCAGCCCTCCGTATCTCCTCCTCAGTCATGGGGAAACTATCAAAGGATGGTAGAGACAGATCCATAAGGTCTGCAGCAACAGCACTGGAGGCAATATCCTTGAGGTTTGAAGAAGTTAGCAGGTCCTCGATAGGCGAGGGGTTACTCCAGACTCGTTTCTCAAGAAAAGAAAGTCTGTTCCTTGCTACGGAGGATGGGAATGTAGTTGAAACAACACCAAGAAACTCATAAGTACGGCGAAACATTAAGACTTGGCAAGGAAAACAGCCAGAACACTTGGTATGAAGGGAGGTTAAGTATTCTATACCTAACTTCCCGAACTTGCGCGGGATGGGGAGTGTAATTGATTGGGGCACGAACCATTTTCCTTTAACTATAGCCATCCTTTCTTTCCACTTCTTCTCGGATGAAGGAAGGTTCGTGCATATCCTCTGATGAAGGGTAGAGGTAAAAAAGAAGCGACCAGGCTCGGTCCCATGCTTAGATATATTATAAGTAAGCAGAAGGTCGGCAAAGGTCAAATCCAGAGCCTCTAATTTCCGGCGCACCAACAGTACCGAAAGGATGCGAAAGAAATTAGGATTTACCTGAAGGGGGGCAAGACCTAACTTGCTGAAAACTAAATGATAGAAGGGGTGAAGAGGGAACCGGAGGGCACTAAGATACCCGACCGAAAGAAGCAACTCACTCTCTTCAATTCCCTCGCCGGAGGTAAAATCGGCACCCTCGGGATATTCTACAATTTCTTCTTCCTCAGGAATATCAAATTCTTCCATTACCGAAGCAACAGAGAACTTGATGCGGCGAATAGAGATAATTGCTTTCCTCTCTTCACGAGTAAGAACATTATCAGAGCCTGAGGTGGATGTCTCGGCTGGAAGGGGGGAAGTACCTAATTGATTCAACGAAGGACGATCTGTAGAAACCCTAGGAGGGGGAACCCTAATGCAAACGGGGGAAGATGAAGGTGTGGATTCAGAATCCCCAATGTCTATACGTTCGGGAGTAGATGAAGTACTCATAATGAAAGATTGAAGAGAAAGATGCGAAAAAAAACTAACCTGACAAAGCGATGGAATGAAGAACGCAGGAGTGCAGCTAGGGCAAATGTAACTCTTACAGAATCTTGTACGACGGAGTAATAATGAAAGCCCTCGAACCGTCTCTGAAGCAAGGTAAAAAACCGGTTTCAATTCCCTCTTTAATGGGAGCCGTCACTCAATTAAAAATGAAATTTGGGGCAAAGTGTGGAGGGAAAAAAACTCCCTCCAATAAGAATATTCCACGTCATCACAAATGTAAATCTATCTTCCAAAGGCCCGTCATGCTCAAGCCCAAATTGAGTGTATTTTTAGCCTAAGACCATTGCTATTTGTCTTCCAACCTCCATCAAGGCCGAATCAAGAGGTCATCAGCCCAACTTGTTAATATTTAACATCCGATCCGTTATTCAAGCCCAGCCGGATCAAAGTATGTTCAGCCCAGTTATTCAAGAATGCACAAATCCTACCAGTTGAAGGATTTACCATAGAAGGAAAATTCTGAGATAGGAAGTTCTGTACAAGGCAAGTTCTGTGTATGGAAAATTAGACAATGGAAAGAACTCTATTAGTAAAGAATGTTTATATAGAAAGAATTGGAAGACAAGCAACGCGAGTCCTACCATAATTTTACAATCTTTTGTATATAAATAGAGGCTTAGACCTCCAATAAAGGGATTAAGCAATTCTACGCTTCTCTATATACTATTCTTGTTTATTTTTATTGTTTGTTGAGTGAGTTGTTTTATTTCTCTTAATCATTATTGGTTGGGCGAAATTTTACACCTATAATGTCGTTTTAGTGCACAACACAGAATCTGAAGCGTTGGGTCCTGTTCCTAAACACCAAAATGTTTGAAAACTAATATTATAAATCTAAATGGCAATCTTATTTTGAATTATTATTTAGTTGATTTAAGTTATATGTATTTACTTTTTTATTTTCTTATTTTTCTTATATAAACATATTATTGTAATAGAATTAGGATATTGAACTGAATGAATGAAAAGTTAAGCACTTTGGTGGCTTATCCTCAATTCAAATGGTTATTGGTGGTTGATCTCCGATCAAAAAATGCCGCTAAGGTTTGTCTACACTTCGTGCTGAAATAACAGTTGGTGTCCGTTTGTTTCGTCCTATGAGTTTAACTCAGGCCTTTGAATTAGCACTTTCTCAATATGACGCTATTATTGCAAAAACAGCCCATGATGCATCAACTTCTCTAACTTCTACCATCGCGATGACCTGTTTCAAGGAGGATGGAATGTTAAGAAACCAATATTATAAATCTATTTTAGGCAATTTTATTTTCAATTATTATTTAATTGATTTAGGTAATATGTTTTTTCCTATTTATTTCCTTAATTTTCTTATATGTGTTATAGTGATTATATTGAATTGAATGAATCATTCAAAAATTTGTTGGTGGTTGATCTCTAATTTAATCACTTTAGGGTCTAAAACTGCAATACAAAACGACATAATTTGGTAAACATGACTTTGGAGGGATGTACTTCATGGTTGAGCAATGGTTGTCAAAAGAAAATAATAGTAGTGTTTAACTGACACGCCACTATTATTAGGTTGATTATACTTTCTAGGTTGATCATACGAAGAAGGGGTAAAGAAATATAATTTACATGTGCATTCTTTTGAAGTTTGAAATATGAGAAATTATTAAATGGTCTTGTAAATGTTTTATTTCGACAAACATGGTATATCCTAGGCGGAGAAGTGAAATGGGAAATCACGTAAGTGACCAAAAAAAATCAGAGGCACCTCTTTGAATTAGTATATGATGCAAAAATAAAATAAAATAAAATGTCAAAAGTGGTAGAAATTGGCAATAGAACCGCCTTAGTCCTGTGTGCTAGTATGTCGCTATTCCAATGCGCTACAACGTAGTGATCAAATACACAAAATAGTTGTTGCATAAGTGATATAACGTAATTGTTGCATGAGCAATGTAAAGTAATTGCATGAGCGGTGTGAGTTGAATAAAGCCATATAACAATGGGCATTGAAAGCATTGCAGAACATATTTTCAGCTCCAAATTCAACCCAAGACAACAAAGTTTGAGTAATGCTAATGTAGCATCCTATTGTATTGTAGCATCAACCGTAACACTTCTCATCTCTGGCACCAAGTTCACTCAATAATTGGATAGAATTTTTCTTCCCCGTAAATAATAATTGAATTGAATAGAATTTACACAGTTGTTTCTCAATTTTTTTCTGCAGCAGGATACTTCTCCCCAAGCAAGAGTGTCTTTAAGATGGCCTCAGTCATCCCATCTGCAAAAGGAAACAAATGTCCCGCGCCTGGTAGTTCATGGTAGTGAATCCATGGAAGCTTTCTGGCTATATAACGCTGCAGTATAACAGGCACAATACCATCTTCATCACCCTGCCATACATGAACAGAGCCCTCATTTCCAAGAAAAGGGTTCTTGAGATCCATAGGATCAAATTCCCATCTCCCAAATCCAATCATCAGGTTACGGTGCCTAGACTCGTACTCTCCTTGTTGTGTCACATATGCCTGGTTGTCACAAGTTACAAATGAGAATCAACCATGAGAAAATCATTTGCTTTATACTCGAAACAAAATGTCCTTGAAAGAGCACTCCTCAACAGAAATCTTCTTAAATCATGAAACATTCAAACCCCAAACAAAGGACACTCAAATGCGTCACAAATTGCTCTAATGGATCTAAAAGTTGCATTTTGTATGAATTTATAGCGTTGAAAAGTATAATGTCATGTTTTCAAAGACCACAACCTAGTGGGATCTCATTAATCAAGAGTGCCGGGAGAAGTGGACTATAGGCCCACATTAGTTGCCCAAAGTGACTGTTACCAGACTGGAATCGGTTTTTCATACTTGACACTGCACCAAGCAGTGGCCACTTACCGATGATAAGTATCAACCGAATGATTTTCTATTGCTGTCCATTCTATACAGCAGCAAGATTAGTACCTTTTGCTTTTCCGTCCCACCAAGCTTGGAAAGGAGATTTATATCTTGCTGGCTGAATTTAGGCTTTCCAGCTACAGCACTTGCCGCGGGAAACCATTTCTGAGTGTTCCACCAGTAGGTGAGCCATGGGGCGTAGTGAGCAACACGAAGTGCCCACTGATCTCGTGGGAATTGTTGGTAGTAGGCTTCTTCAGATAAATTCGCAGGAAAGCTCGGCCACCAGTAGTTGACAACTGGAGCGAGTAGTGTTGCTCCTGCTAGACTGTCAGCATCCCAAATATCTGACTTCAGTCAGATGCATATACTGATGAAAAATATTATTATTCGTAACTTGAAAAATCAAAATCGGTTCAAAATTTCCCCTCTTAATCTTAATGAACAATATTTAGATCAATATCCAACATGCATATCTTTTTCTTCCACTCGTCATGATAATTTTTTAATAAATTTTGAATTTAAATTACTTCCAATACATAATTAAATCTTAATCTTACCGGTGGGGGATGTACTTGAGGCAGCCCCAAACCACCTGTCCTCCCATTGAATTCCCGAGCAAATAAAATTTGGATCCGAGTGCCAACTGATCAGCTAGCTCTTCTATATCCAAAGCAATACTCTTCCTGTTTCGTTTTGGATCCGGATCACTTTCCCCATAGCCTGGTTTGTCGAAAGATACAAAGTACACCCCTAATTCCTCAACTATTTTCTGAAAAAAAGAGAGTGAAAAAAGCAGTAAAGTTAATTCATTTGGAACAACCATAAAAATCCTTTTGAAGGAAATACGAAACTCGTCGTTTCAACAACTAGTCATAGAACTACCCATGTTGTAATGGCTAAGTCATGTCTGCTAGAGGAAAAGCCATGTACGAAGACGATTTTATATTTGGCCGTTTCTTTGGGGACACCATGCTCCTTATAGGCCAAATACCTTCCATCCCTAAGCTTTATTCTTGGTGCTGTCACCGGTGGACCGCCCGAGGAGCCACAGATGGTGGGAGGTGGAGGGCGGAGACTGCGAAATGCCCATGCTAGAAAGCCAATCGATGAAACCGCTACAATTTGGTTAAACATCCCTGATAATAATTCAAATGCCATGTGAAAAGTAGTACGGTGACCGGAGAAATTACCAAGTACCTTGAAGCTAGAGCTTGAGAACTAAGCAATAAACATTTTTTGGCCAAAAGAAAATAAAAGTATCAACTGCATCTAGGAGTGTTCTTAAGCAATAGTATCAAAATGAAAATAGATAGTAAAGGAACTTTAAGAGCTAAATAAAGGTCTAAAAAGATTGGAAAAATTAACAGGTACCTTGAAGCTAAAGCTTTGGAACTCAGTAATGAGGTATAAGATTGACCTGATGGAATGATTATCATGTCTGTGATATCAATATCATATTTTTTGGCAAAATAAAAAATATCAACTGCATTCACGATTGGCCTTAAACAAGAGTATCAAAATGAGAGGAGATTTTTACCACAAAAAGGAACTTTTAAGAGATAAACAAAGGTCTACGAATATTTGCACCACAAATATATATATATATAGAGAGAGAGAGAGAGAGAGAGAGAGAGAGGGGATGAAATAGAAATTCTCATTTGTTTACATGTACGAGTTTCACACAAGAATACAATTCAATCTCAAGATAACAAAAATTTTAGAAATTACAACAAATATTAGAAAATGTCAATGTCCAAACAAAACATTAGCAGATGTCAATGTCCCCATTGAAATCATCTTATTAATTTACCATAGCTTCTGAAGAAGTATTAATAATGACAAATAAAATTGAATAATTGTCTAAATAAAAGGGGAAAAAAAACCCTCAGTTATATGATTTCATGAATAATAGGTAATGGAAAAAGCCATCGTTCAGGCACACGTACTCATGGTGAGAACACTCACACAATAGACTTGCTCTGAAAAGTATGTCCCTCCATAAAACAAAGTGGATTCATTTTAAAAGCTACTGAAAGATAAAATTGGCTCTCATTTAATAAATGATTTCAATTACATGGAGAGTTCCCTATTTTTGTCAGTTCTGCATTAATGTCAATTATAGAAGATCTAGTTTCTATCCCTCAAAAATTGTCCGGAATAAATTTCACAATTTTATTTTATTATATTTTTTCTAAATAATTTCACTATTTTATGCTCAAACTAATATCAGCCATCATCAGAATGGGACTAAATTTGACGCAAAAGAAGAAAAAAAAAATTAGAATATGGGTCAAAGAAATACTCTAGGCTATGTTTGAAATTGAAAGAAAATTGTTCAAATCCTTTTCCAATTCCAATTCCAATTCCAATTCCGAGGAGCAAATTGGTGCTCACAAACCCAAAACGCCATGAGAAATGAGATGATTTCATACTCATGACAAAAAATTTAAAGTGACCCAGCAAGAATAAAACGAGAACCTGAAAGAAGTTGAAAGGAGGTGTTGCAGTCAGATTTTTGAGTGGAGCAGAACGGAAGCAGCGTCTATCTTCCCGCTGAGCTACTGCGTTTCTCAGCTACGCACATGTTTTATATACAGATTCTACTTCATTGTTGTTGGAGGGTCCCATAAAACTATATTCTGGTTGTTGTGTTGGTTATTGTGGTTGTTAGTTAATAATTATTTTTAAGTAGGAACTAACTAATTAAGGATGTTTTGCTTAGTCATTCATATAATTTAAACTGGTTATAAAGATTCGTTTTAGTTATTATTTTTAAGTAGGAACTAACTAATTAAGGATGTCTTACCCACCTCTCCACGGCCACCACCTCTTTCGTCCCCACACCTCCACTGCCACCACTCCTTTGCTTCACATCTCTCTCTAAAAAAACCTTCAAATTTATTCATTCTCCATGATATAGACCAATAGATCCATCAAAATCTTTCAAATTTGTTCCTTTTCCATGACATAGACCAATTTATTCTTTTTTATTGTCTTCTTTTTTCAAAGAAACTCAAGTCAACAGAAATTATTATTAGTAATGACAAATAAAAATTGAATCATTGTCTAAATAAAAAATTATTATAATAAAAAAAAAAAAAAAAAAGCCCCACTCCCACACGATATATATACTTGCCTTAAAATGTATGCTCCTCCACAAAACAAAACGGATTCATCATAGAGGCTTCGGAAAAATAAAATGGGAATTAATTTAGTGAAAGATTTCAATTACATGAGGAGCCCTGCAATTTCCTGTTTTTTTGTCAGTTATGCATCAATATCAAGTATAAAAGATCTAGTTTCTAGTTTTTTTTTTTTTTTTTCTGTCAAAAATTGTCTCGGATACATTACACAATGTTGTGCTAAAACAAACATCAGCAATCATAAGAATTGGACTAAATATGGAATAAAATAAGAACAGAAATTAGAAAATGGCTCTAAGAAATACTCTTGGGCTACCTTTCTGAGCGAATTGACGCCTTGAAATTGAAATCAAAGAAAAATTAATTGAAACCCAATTTCAATTCCAATTCCAATTCCAAGATCACAATTTTGTACTCTTAAACCCAACACAATACAGTAAATAAAATGATATCATACTTATACCATATCTATAATATAAAGCCAATTAAATGGAGAGAAAGAGAACCTGAAAGAAGCTGTTGTACTTGTATTTTTAGCCAGAGCTGAAGGGAAGCACAGCTATCTTATGTTCTTTCCTACTGAGGGATGAAATGAATATAGGGAGTATACAATTTAAAGGGATGCAAAAGTATATTACCAATGAACGTAGTTTGAATATTTACAAATATTTGAATTAATTTTTATTTTTATCTTTTATTAAGCTAAAATTATATTTTCGCCTCTAAATTTTATTTTATGCACAATCTACCCAAAGATATACTTGTACAAATTCTAGAATTTTGTCAAACAGCACTTAAGAATTGTTACATCGCGCAAGAATTAGGAGACACAACGCGTAGCCTACAACGAAGAATAGTAGAACTTAGATCTAGAATTATTCAAATACAAAATATTTTAGAAGCTAGAAGGCAACTATTTTAAATTTATGAGTAGAATAGACTTTAATAACTTAGATAACTCTATAAAACGATTAGGAGAAAATCTTGATTATATTAAAGAACAAGTAGTACAGAATTCTAGTCCAAATAATTTATATAACAAGATAATATTAGTCGTAATTAACAGTGTGTATCCATGTATAAACAGTGTGTATCCATGTATATATTTCTTATGAAATAAATCATCCAGTTTGCTCTTATTCAAAAAATTTTTATCCCTATTTAGTATTTTAAAGTACTTTCGAGCAAAAGACTTCTGTCGACAAAAAGATCAAATATATAGATTTTATTTAACCAGACAGTGTAGATCCTAAAAGTTTCTTGAATCCAACTAATACAAGCAGCCTTAATTTAGTTTAACAATTTCTTCTATGAGTTGACTCGAACTGTTGGCTTATTGGCTCGTTATTGCCAGTGCTCAGGCGTTTTTAATGAGCATTATCAAGTTCGGCAGTCATTTCTATGATTTAATTATTAAATTTAATCTATGTTATTTGCATGTTTCTATCTGGTTAGATTGAACTTAATTTTGGTATCAGAGCCTATACTGTTTCGTTAAATTTAATTTATATATACGATCTTTTGTCTAAAGAAGTCTCTAAATCCATATTAATCTATTGTGAAATTTTAATTTATATTGAAAAAATTAATTTGGTCAAGGATCTTTTTGCAAGTTTATTTCAAACTCTAAGGTTAATATAATATAAAAGTATTGTTTAGGTCTCTAATAATAATATAGTTTAGTGTGTGGTATAAAGCATAAAGTGGAATTCATTTTAGAGAAATATTTTGATGGTCCATCCAATTATTGAAACTTTAAGACTTTGACCTCATGAACATGTAGTATATACCCACTAAGTCCATGTATTGATAGTTTACCCTAATTTAAACACAGTGACACACACACAATATTATATTGGGTTAATTCCACCTACACCCCTTAAACTATGCTAATATTCCACACACACCCCATCTACGTTTCATAATTCTACCTACATTCCCCGTCAGTAACCGCAGTCTAATTTACCGACGGAAATATGTAATTTTACTATTTTACCCTTTAATTATATATTAAAATTTATAACTAAAAGGAAAAGACTTTAACACCCTCTTAACACCATTAAATTTCTCTCTCTACTCTCACACATGTATATATATATACACACACACACATATATATATACACAAACTATATATATATATTCCTTCTTCTTTTTTTATTTCTTCTTCATTATTGCCGGCAAGGAAGAAACTATGCCACCGATGCAATACACAACAACCACAGAAAAAGATGGTTTTTATCACAGTTGAGTCGTTCTCCTTACTGGCCGCCGTTCAATTGCAAGGACACACCGCCATTCAACCTTCAGTCCTTACTCAGTTGCGAGCTTCGCCGGACTGAACTGAACTTCACCGGAGTTAGGATCACCAGACTAAATTGGGTGAAGCGATCTCCGGCGAATTAAAAAACCGATCTCGCCGTTTCTCCACCTCAACCTACCACCACCACTGCCGAGCCCAACCACCATCCACAATCACCCTTTGCAAATAACACCACTTGCAAACCCAAGATCCAATTGCGAAAAAAAAAAAAAAACAAAAAAAAAAAAAACGGTGTAGTTGCAGGGTCTATTTGGGAGAGCATAATGAAGATTGATGAAGTCGAAGGAAGTATCTAAGTCTTCAACCCAAAATCTGAATCATATAAGGAAGTTGTATCGGCAACAAGAAGATCGGACCCGATGGCCACGCGTGACTGCCGACTCCCTTCAGCAATTTGAGTTATAACCTTGCCGGAAAACTCCATCTCTGTCGATCTCAGGGTTCATAAACGATCAGCTCACCGCCGACAATTCCTCCCCCGAACTCACCTAATCTCGCCGGAAACCTGACTCCATTCAATGTTATTTTTCTTTTTTGTTTCCAAATCAAATCAGGAAAAAAAAATTAGGATGAAAATCTAGAGATAAACGCATCCTAACATTGAATGGATGTGCTGGTCTCTGTTTTTTTTTTTTATATATATAAAAGAATTCAATAGAATAGAATTAATCATGTATAGTGTTTTCTTCTTTTTATCTATAACCATCTTGAACCGGCAACGAAGAAAGAGAGGGTTAATGGCGAGATTAGTAGAAACAGAGAGAGATTTCCAAAAACAATATTCCAACTAGAGAGATTTCCAAAAAAAAAATTCCAATTAGAGAGATTTCTAGTTGAGAGAGGGAGGGTTCTACAACGAGAATGGGATTTCAGTTCAGAAAGATACAGAGAAGATTTTCAGCAGAGAAGGGGATTTTAGATCGTACGGAAGATTCGACGGTGACTACACAGCCGTAAATTCGACGACGTTTGGATTGAACTAAGTATTCCTCCTTTTTCAATGCGGCGAGCAACGACTTGTTTGGTCACCATCTTTTGGTGCATGAATTAATACTGTGGGCTTAATTCTAGTGAATTAAAAAGTTGAAGCAATCGGTGAATGGTGTTCTGGGTTCGGTGATATGAGGACACCGTGGATTAAACTTTTTGAGTTTATAAGTTAAGGGTAATTTTGTAAATTTGCATTGGTCAATGAGGTTAAAAATGTCATTTATAAGTATTGAAAAGGGTAAAATTAACCTTATACAGATTTGTTCATGTTTGACACCATCAATTACTTAACGGCAGGAGATAATTTGCTACATAAATTAAAACCTCAAAGGAGATAAGTGGAATTATGAAACGTATAAAGAGTGTGTATGAAATATTAACATAATTCAGAGGCTATAGGTGAAATTAACCTTATTATATCCGCGAATTCCTTTTTGTTGTCGAATTCATTGCGCAGAGGGTCCCACAAAGTGACGTGCTGACGATAGGTGCTTATCCACTGACCTAATAATGTGCACTCTGTAGTACATATTAATGTCCACTCCACCAACTATAATGATAAAATTTCCAAAAATATAGAAACAATATTAGGACTTCATTTTTTTTTTTGCGTTTAATCAGATAACTATGTCTTTTAGGAAATAAAAAATAAATAACTATGTCTTTTCTTTTTTCTAAAATGTAAAAAAAAAAAAAAAAAAAAATCAAGTTTAGCTCAGATATGGCATCCTCTCAAAAAGTAAAGGATGTATGACTTTCATTTCATTTTCAATACAGATATTTGTACATGTTTTTTAGATTTTTATTTTTTTATTTTTTTAGTTATTATGCATTTGTCAGGGACGAATTATCCCATCTAAAAGGTCAATGTTGGGCATTCATTTGAAGATAAACCTCCACATGTGTGGCTCTTGATGCAGTGTTATTGGCTTATAAGCCGAGAAAAATCATGGACACCCGAGAGGAGAAGGTGCTCATGCTTACGTCTCAAAACATCACATTTTTTTTCAAAGTTATTATTTGTCGTCTTGTTTCAAAGTTATTATCTGTCGTCTTGAAACTAAATTGAGAAATAAAAAAATAAAAAAAAATAAAAAAGTAATGATATTTGTACCTAAAAATTAGACAGAATTTGTAACACCTACATTCATTTGAAGGCAAAATAT